CATGGTGCTCTATAATGTATTGCTGGGATAGTGGGATTTGTAGTCCTCTGTAGCTGACGTTATAATGTACTGTATATTATATCATCAGCTATAGAGGGATACAAATCCCAGCAATACGTTACACAATGCATGTATAATGTATTAACCCTGGTAGGAATAAAGGCTGAGAAAGAAGGGGAAGAAGGGCGATATAAAACCTGCTGAATATGTAAGAGAGTCTTACACTCTCAGGGCATGTTTTATAAGAGGGCTTAAAGTTGATGGTCTGTCACAGGGAGGAAGCCAAGGGAGGGCCTGGAGCAGATCAGAAGAGCAATATGGAATTTCTAACAGGGTCCATAGAGGGCTATTAGTCGTACAATGTTTAGGCACATGTTTTGATATGTAATTTTAGCCACAAGTTGAAGTTGAAGGGGTAAAACTCTTTTAGATTTTATTGCAGTTTATGTCCCCCTGGGGAGTTCTCACTTCACTTTCTGCCACAACAAGATGAGATCTCCCCAACAGTGACAAAGGTTGTAATAAAAACTGGACACAGGTTTTACCCCATTCCCACTTTATCAAAAAGTGCTTTTATTGCTGTTCAGTGTGCATTTAGGAGATTTTCCCTGTACCAGCGACAACACAGGAAGGTAGAGGAAGTCTCCACAAAGAGAACAAGGAAAGCAATAAAAACCACACAGAGGTTCTCATGTTTTTCCCATGGTGTCCGAAACTGCTGCTGACTGGACTTCGACTTTAAAATGTTGTCTGCTAAAATAATGTTATACAACTGTCAACAAAATGTTTTAAATCTAGCAAACTTAAGCATTATGATTTTTTTTTTATTACAGGCATTTATATATATTATATATCATTGACAATGTATGCAGTGCTTTCCATTCACATCATTACCTGCCCTCAAGGAGCTTACAGTCTAAGGTCACATACATACACACACACGCACACACACACTGAAGTTAACTTAGATAGGAGCCAATTAACCTACCAGCATGTCTTTGGAGCATGGGAGAAAATGCATACAAGCACAGTGAGAATATTCAAACTTCATGCAGGTAGTGTCCTGGCCAGGATTCAAATCAAGAACCCCAGTGCCACAAGACAGGAATGCCAACCATTAACCCACTGTACTGCCATTGTGACATAAAAACCCCCAAACAGAAACAATGTCTTACCTTGGGGTTTACCAGACTTTGATGGTTATGTATGATTCCCCATGGTGCAATGCCCATTGCCACCACTTTTGTTCTAGAGTTAGAGCTAGCAGTGGCATGGTCTCTGACAGCTTCACCAACATATTTCCCTATGCCAACCTGCATTCCACCCGTCATTATCCAGGCACCTATTGGCAATAAAGAAATTGAATTCGGAGCCTGGTCCAAGCATACATATTTCTCTAATTTCTACTGAAAGAGTTAATCAATGTGAAAAATAACTCATTACCATGAAGGATGAGTACCACCCCATTCTCATTATCTACGTTTTGTTCACTGTAAAGGACTTCATTTGATATAAATTGATTTCTCCTTTATTGGAAGAGGTAGCTTCTAACTACTGGGTACACACCCTGCCTCTAGAAGGTTGTATAGTAGGTAAAATCAAAGGCACAGCTCTTTCTACTGGCTATACCCCTGCACACATTGATAGAGCCAAAGAAGTAGCAAGAAGTAAGCAAACTATAGTAATTAAAACATAAAAAAGGATTTACAGCAAGTCCATTTTCTGAAAGACAGATACATCACACTTCCCCAACACATCTGGAGTGTGGACCACAACCTCTTTATGGTGAAAAGGAGACTGGCAGAGGGAGGATAGCACTATATTCTCTTTAAGACAAGAGGAGATCACAAAATGTGGAAGAGAGAAAAGTTTAGGTTGCAGAACAACCTTGTCCTTGTGATGCATAACAAAAGGTGATTTACAGGATAGAGCCATCATCTATGAAACCCTCCAAGCAGAGGGTAAGAAAAGCCATCTCTTAAGATAAAGTCATAAGAGACTTCTCATTAGGGCTCAAAGGGAGGACCCCAAAGTACAGAGAGCACCACATTAGCATCTATGAGCAATGGAAGGCTTAAGCTTGAAAAGCTTAAAGGAGAACTATGAGATGAGTGATTTCCACTCACCTCAAAGTTCTAGCCGACCTGTGACAATGAGACTGTCACAGGTCAGCTCAGTAGATCGGGAGGTGAGCGAACACATACCAGGTTCGCTCACCTCTCGATCCTGTCACGGCTCTCTGCCGTGACAGGGGGAGGGGCTGGATTCCCCTCTCCCCGCTCCGATCTGCCAGCGCTGACTGGCGGAACGGACGGGGGAGGGGGCGGGTACAGCTGGCTCTGCCTCTAGATAGGCAGAGCCAGCTGTCACTCACGCAGCTGGGCGGATCCCGTCATCTACGTCGGGATCCGCTCCGGCTGCGGCGTCTCAGTATACCGCGAGCTGTAGCTCGCGGTATACTGAGCTTAGGGTAACGGGAGGACGCTAGTTTGTGTCCTCCCGTTACCCTAAGGAGAACTATGGGGAAAAACACTGACCCCATAGTTCTCCTTTAAGTAAAGATGACTTGTGGCAAGTACGGAGTACAGACAGACCCAGTAATGGACCCACGGAGGAATGGGACAAGAAGAACAGGCAACCAAAAGCAATTATAAGTCTGCTAGTGGAAGACAACCAGCCCCCTTAAACTGCCTGTAAAGTGGGATATCTGTACGATGTATAGAACTTGCTGCAACAAAAAGTGTCAAAGAAAAATTACATTTAAAAAAAAAAAGCGTGAGGTTCCCCCTCCCAAACAATGCCAGACCCTTAAGGTCTGGTAGGAATTTTAAGGATGAACCCCACCCCAAAAAATGAAAGGAAAAAAAAAAAAAAAGACGTGGGGTCTCCCCTAAAATTCCAAATCAGACCGTTGATCCGAGCAGAGGCCTGGCAGGGGCACCCCCCATACTAGGCCACATGCCATCGGCACTGGGAGGGTGCTTTTCCAGGGTCGCCCCTGGAAAGGTGTGACCAAGGACTAATAGTAAGGAGCTGGGTTAACCTGACACATCACTTCTCTCCCGCACAGGAATAAATATTTAAAATGAACATAGGTTCACATCACTGCATCACTAGAAATCAAGCCTTTCAATTCTCTATTATAGTTGCAAGACACATTCACATTCCAGGACGGATTTAGACCCTCTGACCTGTGCTTTGCGCAGCCTTGACCAGCCCCTTCCTCAGGATGTCCTTCAGCCATGTTTTCATTTTAAAGTCACCATCACCGCCAACAACAGACACCACTAGGTTGGGTGGTGGAATCTTCCAATGATGAGTGATTAGGTTATAGACAACGGAGGAATCAGTTTCATTTGACAGGCGAATAAACTGGAATGAAAAAAAGATGTTATAAACACTACTTGTGTCTTAAAAATACAACGGGGGGAGTAAAAAATGTTTACCATGCGGTGTGCCAAACGGCACTTTCTAATTGTTTACAATACAAAAGAGGTTCAGTTACCTGATTTAAGTAAGAACATTGCACTGTAAGCATAATTAGATCGTTATATAGCTCCATTTTTATTTAAAGGGCCAGTCAACTCAAAAGGTATAGCTTAAGTAGCATTACCAGCAGCCTCAATGTAACCTGTAATATTATTTAACACTTACATTTAGTTTTTTTAATTGGCATAAAAGGATCTTTTTGAAAATATGTGCTGAGCTGCTCAGCCTCAGTATGTGCCTTTATATTTACAACCCCAATTCCAAAAATGTTGGGACGCTGTGTAAAATCTACATAAAAACAGAATGCAATGATTTGCAAATCTCATAAACCCATATTGTATTCACAATAGAAAATAGAAAACATATAACATGTTTAAAACAGAGAAATTGTACCATTTTAAGAAAAAAAATAAGGTAATTTTTAAATTAATGACAGTAACACGTCTCAAAAAAGTTGGGACAGGGCAACAAAAAGCTGGCAAAGTAAGTGGCACTAACAAGGAAGAGCTGGAAAAACATTGTGCAACTAATTAGGTGAATTGGCAACAGGTCAGTACCATGATTGGTAGGGATGCACCGATACCACTTTTTTGGGTCTGAGTACGAGTACCGATACTTTTTTTAAGTACTCGCCGATACCAATTACCGATACTTTTTCTTAAAGGGGCAGATCACATTTTTTCCAAAGCAATACAAAATAATGATTTTAGGTCAGTTTCTTAATATTATGAAGAACTGTAACTCAAAAGACAACATGACTGTCAAAAAATAAGTTTACTTTGCTTAAATTGTCACAAAGTTGTACTCAACGAAAGTTAGTAAAATCTCAACGTGCCATTTGAAAAAAGGCCACAAGATGGCGTATGGATAGGATGGAAGCAGATGGAAACCTATGTGGCAATGAAGGGTTATAGCACAACAGGACCTGTCAGAACCTGCTAGACATTAACCACAATGCTGGATACATGGGGCAATGAAAGAATTACAGTATAACAGGCAGAATAAGCCTGCAAGTGAAGCAACAACTCCATTAAATATTAACAGCGCCGAGGAACCACAGGTGTCAGCAACAATATTCTCATGAAAGGCACCCAAAGAGTTAAGGCACCAGACTGAAGCTTTGAAGCTGACATAGTTAGCAAACAATAGATTTCTGTAAGATCCAGGTAAAGCTTTAGTAGTAGAGCTACAAGTGGCAGCAGTCTGCAGAGTTAAATCCCCACAAGCAAACTAATGGATTTTTAGGGGAAAACCTGCAAGCTTCAACTAAGGCATTGGCAGCACCACAGAATCACATACTTCCCTGCAATGCACCTGTAAGGTTTAAGCACACATGGAAAACTGAGTAGATCTACAGGCAAAATAAGATATCCAAGGACGATGCAGCCAGAGCAAAGCAGGGCTGCAAAGCCATAGGAAATAGTAGTACATTCACTACTTAAACTAATTGAAAGAAATTGGAGTGGATCCTACTTGTCATCTTGTCCATGTATGTGGTCATTCCAGTACAACTATAGTTTCTGATGATGCAGCTGAGTCATGGTTTCTTCAGAGTCAGAAGACCAGGAGGCCAATCAGGCTGCCATGATGGAGGAAGCATCAGAATATGGAAGGACCCCAAAATGTCCTGCACCCCAAACTCTGAAGATATGAGGGGAGGCTTCCCTTAAAAAAAAGCATTTAGCCACTTGAACAAAAGGAACTTTGCAACAAGGAGATGCTGAACCTGTGTGGCAGGCCAGAAGCAAGGCGAGGGTAAAAAGTATTCTTAGTATAACTGGCTTAAGCAGCGAGGACAGAAAAAAGAATAGTGGCCTTTGGAGGTGTGCTTTAATTTATAGTATAACTGGTCGTGTGATTGGGTGAGGAGCGGAGCTAAACCCATTCGTATGCTGTCATGTTGGTGTCAAGAAAGAGCATTTTAAGTGCCCATACACCTTGCGATTATTGGACGATTTTCGTCCGTGACCGCGGTTTCATCCGATAACCGGCCAGTTGATTGGAAGTGCACAACAGCAATTACTGTACAACTTCGTTTTTCAAGCAGCCTAGAAAATTTTCGTCGAGTTGGATGAAAATTGACGGATTAGTGGCGCTTTTGTACAACAAAAATCGCACAATGAAAACTGCACATGCACGAGCGAAAATTTAGAATTTGAATTGACGAAAACTGGTCAGTTAGTGGTGTTGACGAACGATAATCACAAACTACATTGGTCTGTGCATGATGGGCTATTTCAAAGAAAATTGAACGAGGGTGCGATAACGGGACAAAAAAAGTTGTACAATGGTTGTAAGGTGTATGGCCACCTTTAAAGAGTCAGGGTGTGTCAGAAGTAAAGATGGGCAGAGGCTCACCAATGTGTGCAAAGCTACATCTAAAAATTGTTGAACACACACACAAAGAGAAGATCTCCGTGGAAAATGTATAGTTAAGTGTAAGGTGGGGTTGAAGGGGAGTCCTCTAAAACTGGCCAAACACTTTACTATCTAATTGTACTGTTTCTGTACGATTGCTAATACATGTGATGTGGGGTCTATCTAAACAATCCATTTAATTTGTTTTCAATCACACAGACCCTTGCATTACATTGTTTGGTGGATTTATAGGAAATTGTACAATCAGACTGCAACATGTCTATTTGATTTAAAGCTGAACTCAGTCAGATAAAAAACATTTCCTTCAATTGGGTATTCCTTAAAAAAAGAATCGTTAGCCATCAATTAATGTAGAAAGTTGCAGATTTTTAAACCTAGTATAGCTGATATAATGTGCAAATTGCCCACAGGAATAATTTGGGTAAGACAGGATTATCCCCTACAAATTATCTTTCATAGATTTAGAAAAAGTCCCAATAAGGTCCCAACAGATTCAGGATCTCCACTGTGTTCTTCAACAAACAGAAGAGAAAATAGGATTTTTGTACTCCCCATAAAATTCTTTCCTCTGAATTTACTGAAGAACTTTGTGACCAAAGTTCTCCATGTACAGCTTGTGACTAACTGTGCTGCCTCTAGCAGATGGGGGTTTTGGCCACTGCCAGGAGCTGTCCCAAGGCTGTGCTATTGATTTTTGCTCTTACTCCTGAAAATGGTGCTATAACCCAATGATCAGAGATTCAGAATCTTTGCTGTGTCCTTGAATGAACTCTAGACAAAAGCATTTTTACTTCTATCTGTGTTGCTGTGAAAGAGATTTCCATTCCTTTCTCTATTCACTTCTATACCCACTCTATTCACAACTAAAAAAAATAGCTATAGAACACTTTGCACCTATAAGCGAAAGTGTTGCTACCCTTCCTCACATTTAAAAGACTTTAAAATAAGAACTACGCATTCGGCCCACAGCACCCAAACAAATGACACCTTTCATGTTTCTAAAGCAGCATAAAAAATAAGCAGCAAGACCGATACTGGCAGATTATCCTTCACACAATGTCAAACACAAAGCCCTCTAAAAGTGAGTTTGCACTTTTGCATCCAAATTGGAATAACACCTAATTTTAATTTGTTCCATGTTCACATTTACATAGCAAGATATTATTTAAACATATCTACTTACCATTTTAAATGCTTTTTTTCTGAAAACTCCAAGACTGGAAAATCCTTAGTTATTTTTTTATATGTCATGTTTAGGAGGGTACTGGGGAGCTGGGGAGCTGGGGAGCTGTGTTTGCCATAATTAACCTTATAGGTATATTGAGCATCAGAGATTGTTGATCCAGGGATCAGGAAGGAATTTGTTTCCCCTGTTGGAGCAAATTGAACCATACTTTATAGGGGTTTTTTTAACTTTCCTCTGGATCAACAGTGGGTAATTGTGGGCATAGCGTTCTGTTTAGGCTTTTCTTCTTTTTTTCATATCTCTATAAGTTGAACTCGATGGACATGTGTCTTTTTCAACCTGACTGGCTATGTAACTATATAACCTTTTCTGCACTATGCTGAAAGATTCCATTATTAGTTAACCAGATGTGCAGGACTCTGTCATAACAAAAGGTTAAAGATCTCATAACTTGAGTGATACATTCTACAGTATGCCAATTCTGTCTCTCTGCCTTGTCCCTTCAGTCTTTTACAATAGAAGCCGCCCATACAGTGGCGTCACAAGGGGGGTGCGGCTCGCACCCGGGGGCCACCATTGGAGGGGGTGATACCAAAATGACTGTCAAAATGAAAAGTTGGGCACTCGGTCACGGAACGAGAGCCTGACAGTGTCAAGAGAAAGGAGGGGCACCCGGCGGCATACCTCATCCCGCCGTGTGAACGTACCCTCCTCTTTCTGATGTCATTGTGCACCCGCGTGGCAACGTCATGCACGTGCGTTATGACATCACGGTGGGGTGTCACCCTGGTCTTCGCTCCGGGTGTCAGTCTGCCTCGGGACGCCCCTGCACCCATACAATCTTATAGTATGTATAATCCTGCTCCATAAAAACAACTAAAACAAGTAACAAATGTTGTTTTAAAAACATATTTTAGGTATGCTGTGTGAATGGGAACACAACATTGTGGTGATTTCTCAAATTTGACTGCAAAAGGTGCAAATACTTTTTAAAGAAAACGAGGTTAGGGCAGAAGGCATGCACAGAAGCAATCTATGTCTTGACTCCAAAAGGGAAGACAAAGCAGTGTCTGATAGTGGAAATATACTAACCATGTATTCATAGCATACAGGCATTTGCATACTGTTCTTTGTCAAAATGCAGAGCACAAAATAGTCTGTCATTGTCGCCTTGACATGGTGCCTAAGCACAAACCTGTTTTGAATGGTTGACATGTGAGTTGTTCTAGAGAATACAGCCTGAGAGAGTTCTAAAATTAGCATACATATTGATTAACATATTTAAGGTTTGGTAAGCTGCAATATATATTACATTTTT